AGAAAACAAAAACCATATTTTGACTCACCTTTGGCCGTGACTGCAGGCAGATGCATCCGGATTTTTCGGGGTCGGCCTCCGCAGACCGGTCTGTTCTGTTGTGATGTTCGCAGCCCGTAAGGATTCGGCGGTGCAAAGAATCCGGCGGAGTGTGGATGCAACGGCATGAGAACGGCATCAGAAGTGCATCAGAAGTGCCCGCCAGATCTTTGGAATGGGTGTGAGATCCGGCTTCTTTCCACTGCTCAGTAAATGTGCAAGATGAGAATGAATATACCGCTGGAACATGGCAAGATACACTGCCATGTTTTTCGTCCTTTTTCCCTTTTTCTTTTTTTTGCTTTTTCTTTTTTTTGCTTTTTCTTTTTTTTGCTTTTTCTTTTTTTCTCGGAGCAGCCGGATCGGAGGGCGATGTGAAAAAGACGTCCTCATCAGAAGTGCCCGTCGGATCTCTGGGCGGGAGTCCCACTAGCCAAAAGGATAGGATCGAGCTCCTGAATCTGGATGTGTTTTAAGCACAGATGCAGAAAAGCAGTTCAATCTCTATATCCTGCACATMTCCATAAACTCSTCCAGATTCAGGCATTCGATCCGAWCCTCTTTGCTGGTGGGACCTCTCCYCTGGAGTGGATGTGAGATCGGSCSTGKCTCCACTGCTYACCAAATGTGCAAAATGAGAATGAATAGAAGGCTGGAACATGGCAAGATACACCACCATATTTATTGTCCTTTTTCCCTTTTTCTTTTTTCCCTTTTTCATTTTCGTCTGTTTCTTGGTGATGTGCGTTTGGCTGCATGGATGTCTAGAGACGACAGGTTTTGCCATTTTGTCTGATTCGTGGCGTGCGGTGTGACGTCAAGTGAGGCCCAAGACCAGTGGCCAGATTGAGTTCTCGTTTTTTTTTTTTTTTTTTTTGGAAGGATGTCATCATGGTGACTGCAAGTGAGCCCGCAAAACCAGTGGCCAGATTAAGTTCTCTTTGTAGGAGCGCTTGATCTGGCCGTTGCTTTTGGGTTTTTGGAAATACGAGTCCGCAGCCTTGCCTTTTTTTTTGGGGGGGGGGGAGCACACAGCCTTTCCATTTTTTTGGGTGGGGGGCGAACCCGTAGCATCTGATGGGAAGAGAGGTGTCGGGGAAGCCATGGTTCCCAACGAGAAAAATGGGAATGGATCTTCCGCTATAACATGGGAAGGTGCATTGCTTTTGTGCATGTGAAGAGTGGTGTGGCGAGGCCCCTACTTAAGTTCGTCCTTTTTCTTCTCCCTTTTTTTTTTTTGAAGGGTGATGGCCCTGAGGTATGAAACCGTTTTCATCAAGCGGCCTAGCTCAGTTGGTAAGGCACGCAAGTGGCTTTCAGGAGGTCCTGGGTTCAATCCCGGTTGGCCTCATGTACCTTCCTGGGCAAGTTTGGCGCCCGCCACCTAGAGATATGCCGTTGGTCCCCCCGACTGGCACTGAGCAGGGACTGCTGATGTTCATAGGGGGAGGGGACCGGAGGGGAGGCACACTGACTGGCCCATCGAAGAAGCTCGGTCCTGATGCTACCGGCTGACCCCTGGCCGGTATCACCCACCTGCTGTAGCAGGTATCGCTCCTGCTGGTGGGTGCAGCCCCCGCATGTTCCCTCGTTGGAGGCTTGAGCACGGATGTGGCTGAAAGCCCATCCTGTCCAGATTCGACAGGTAATTGAATTGGTTGGGCTTAAAGAATTAGCCTTAAAAAAAAAAAAAAAAAAAAAAAAAAAAAACCGT